AATGCACTATAGATCTAATAATGCAAATGAGCCCTTAACAAGCTTTACTTAAAAAAAAAACACACAACCCAAAAGTGATTGAAACAGTATTACCTCTTCAGTGATAATGGGCATCACAATATAATTTTACAACTAGTGATATTATTATTTAATCACTACAATGATTTCATTACTAAAAGAACTAAGCTAAGCAATAAAATGGTAACCAGGATGTTCAAGATTATAGACTAAAACTGTGATGGAGGTACTCACTGTGACAGATGATCTTGAGAGCTTGCGACACAAGTTGAACTGAAGCTGACAGTCTGTTGAACAGGTGCACACTACCTTCATTACAATGTGATTTTCCACTCTCATGTCTCTTAACCCTCCCACCCCAAAATTTTGAAGACTATCTATGCAGGTGTGACTGCTATATAATTGCATTTGCAAATTTGTGGGGTCAAGATTTGATTTTCCATCTGGCCATTTTTAAAGTGTGATAATAATAAACCACAAACTTCTCTTATATAGCAGTTGAGATTATTATTTAAAGTAGACTCAACACATCTTTCTGCTTTTTAATTACATCATGCTTAATTATTTTGGTTTTTGGGGTTAATGAGTTTCATGTACAGCTGTGCTGGAAGTAAAATATTACTTTGAGAGGACAATTAGATGTTTCTATGTGAATGAGCAATGACTTTTTAGGTCCCTGGTGACTTGTTAAATCCAAAAAAAGAAACATGGTTGCACATTACTTGTCAGTTGGATAGACAAACAGTAAAATATAAAACGAAAAAGATCAAACGGACCGACCAAATGTGAAAAACAGCACTAATTGCGACTGCGAAGTTAAACTAGGTACAAATTCAGGACAAATCCATGAAATATTAAATGAAAATGAGTAGTTTAAAATTAGCATTTTATGCTAAAGATCAAGGTAATACATAATATAAATAATGAATGAGTAATTATAGTGTCAGCTTCAGTACTCTGAAAATACTTAAAGAACAGAAAGTTGAATGTTCAATTCAGCCCATTTTGTCTTTTGTCCCTGTTGACTCATTTAGCAAACAAGCCTGGACTGTCGGAGGGATCATGACAGGCATACATTTTTTTCATTTTTTTTTTTAATTAAAAAACAAGTGTAAATCCACAATTTTCACTTATTGTGCATATTCATTTGGGCCTGGATTTTCTCTGACAGTCCTGGGTCACTGAAATGATCTGGGGGGAAAGAGAAAGAGAGATATGCTGGCCTTAATTTAAGAGTATAATTTAACATAATAGTGCACATAATCTATTAATACTTATCACAATAATTTATTATTATAAAAAAAAACTAAAATAAGAAGTATTATGTATGTACCATTTTTTATTTATTTTTTGTCATTATTTGTAATTATATTATTTTTTTTTTTTGCAGAACAATAAATTATTTTATGTAAGAGACAAGACTATTTACATACTTTGAATACATAAAAACAAACAAACAATGTGTCGGATAACAGATTACATGTGACATTTGCCTTATAAAATTATATACCTGCTGCGAATTCACGAATATCCATAGGCTTTTTTCAAAAACACATTCCTGTTAGAGAGAGAGAGAGAGAGAAATAACATTATTTACCATGCTATATATGACATGATCTGTACATATATGTTCTGTGTGTTTGTTCTATTTATTTATATATAATATGTTGATGCTTTGGCAACATTGTGTTACACAGTCATGCTAATAAAGCTATATTGAATTGAATTGAGAGAGAGAGAGAGAGAGAGAGAGAGAGAGAGAGGGGGTTAAATATAACAAAATGTGCTGTGTCATGATCTTGATCGATGAACAAAGCAAAAACACTATATCCTACCTTAAGAAGTCACCCAGTAACATTTCCACCTCTGGATGAGATCTTAAATATTTTTCATTGGCTATCCTCGTCTTGATCTGGAGTAACGTTAAGAGACATGTTAACTCACTTAAAGTTACACTTATTTGATTTCGAAACATTCGCTAACAGAAATCAATCCTGTATTTCATTATTGTTTATTAATAAATCATAGCAGGACGTGTACTCATACTCATGTAATTCACGTATTCAGCTCCAGAACAATTTGCAGACTCGTCGTAAACAACTTTCAGCAGCCGAAAACGAAATACCTTGAAGTGATGCAACTTCTCCTGCTGCTCAGGGTTTAAAGCGCCGACATCGAGTTTCTCCAGAGCGTTTCTCTCCGCCATGACAGCGTAGGCTACCTTCTTCCGCTGCGCTGTGTTCCCAAGCATCTGCTGTTGACGTGACGCGCATTCTGTTGCTAAAGAACACGCTTCCACACTTTCATTCATTTTAAATAAGCTATGCAATTTAAAGAGTAACGTCTTTACTACATAGCCCACGAACAAAAATGAATTGTTTAATAAACTTTATTTATTGTTCTAAATTGGTTGAACTTGCTAATATGTCTACAGTATTTTTGCAAGTAAATAAAAAATACATTAATATAAACAATTCATCGAGAGACTCGCACGTTTGATGTTTTTCAGGGGACTGGCATTACTCGTTTAAGAGTACGTACGGCTACAACGTACGGCTACAACGTACGGCTACAACGTACGGCTACAACGTACGGCTACAACGTACGGCTACAACGTACGGCTACAACGTACGGCTACAACGCGTCATGGAAACAAACAATAGAAAGTGTTGACTTGACAAAGCTAAACTTGGATGCTCAATTGATCTCTTCAGCTCACAAACTTAGACATTTATAACGCCGTTGCCCACTGGTAAGTGATATTTTATTAACTACATGCTACACAACAATACTATATCTTTTGTAACCATTTCAAAATCTTTCTCCTGTTACGTTAGGAAAGCAAATGAGGTTAACTAGCTACATTCATTCTAACGGAGGATTTGTCACATATTATACACACACACACACACACACACACACACACATATATATATATATATATATATTTTTTTTTTTTTTTTTTTTTTTTGCTGAGCCTACTATAGTGTTATTGTCAATTCAAAGAAATGTTCTTGAAAGCACTTCTTGTCCTCTCTCTCTCTCTCTCTCCTCTCTCTTCTCTCTCTCTCTCTCACACACACACACACACACACACACCACACACACACACACACACACACACACCCAAGCGTTGACAACAGTTTGGGCCAACAGATTCAGAGACTTGAGTAAGAACCACTAGCAAAGTTTAATGGCAGTTTCAGAATAACACAAGACACTGAGTAAATAATAGCTACAGAAAAAAAGACAACAGATACAATAGTGGAATAAAGATTGCCCAGAACTAACGTTACAGTAAGAGTGACCTCTTGTGAATATTCCACATATTACACAAATTGAAGAGGCAGGGAACTATTGTTTTAGAGATCAAAAGTTGCAGCACGCACATCCAAAAAAATAAAACTGGGTGCTGGGCAGACAGAAAGTTGCAAAAGTAAACAATGAGTCCGCACACCAGAAAATTCTCCCAAGCACTTTTAATAGTTGCTCACCATGTGAAACGTTTCGGGCCCAAGCCCTTCATCAGACATTTCATCTGATGAAGGGCTTGGGTCCAAAACGTTACACATGGTGAGCAACTATTAAAATTGCTTGGGAGAATTTTCTGGTGTGCAGACTCATATAGGGAACTTGTTTCCCATTCTAGGAGGAAATACAAACTTTAAACATTTATATGTATACAGCTGAACAAGGATAGACATGAAAACTACTCTTTTAAATCTTAAACTGACCTAAGTATTTAAACAGAGAATTTTACTTTAAAAACACACATTTTATCAGATGTTAAATTTGGAAGTTAAATCCCCTATTGTGTTACAGTATGCAATTACATCAGAAGTAACTAGCCTAATTAAATTACAGAAAATTATGTAATTTCACACTTTAATTTAAGGAAATGTAATTAAATTACAGTAATTATTTACTTAGTACTGGATTACACCCATCACTGCATGGAACCATGTCAATAGAAAATATCCTCCAATAGGGGATTATCACGCTTCCGGGCTTCATGGGCGGGATTTGTGAACTTTGTGCATGTCCACTTCCGACGCAGTTCAACAATGGCTGACACGAAGGCTATGTACAGGGGTTGGACAAAAAAACTGAAACACCTGGTTTTACTACACAATAATTTGTTAGAATGGTGAGGGCCTCATTTTGCATCCAAATACAGCACCAATTGACAGATAGAAGTCCTTCACAGTGACCAGAGGGATTATGAGCCGTTCCTCTTCCAGAACAGTGTCCAGGTCACAATATGATGCTGGTGGACTCGCTCCTCCAAAACACCTCAATAATATTCAGATCTGGTGACTGTCAGACCATAGGAGATGTTCAACGTCACTTTCATCTTCATCAAACCCTTCTGTCACAAGTCTTGCTGTGTGTGTTGGTGCATGATCATGCTGATACACGGTTTGAGCATCAGGTGCTCATGATCCTCCAGAAGGGTTTGCTAGTCCTCGGCAGTGTCGTGTCCATCAAATTCAATCAGGATTGTCATGATATTGGAGCTCAATCCATCACTGATCCACCCGTGCTTCACTCTGAAGATTGGCCGCCAGGCATATAGATGTGAAACCTCCAACATTGGCCAGTGTTTCAGTTTCATTGTCCAACCCCTGTATGTCACTGCTCTGTTCCACTTTGTAAATCTAAGCATCAACGCCAAACCTACGTAAGTTTTCATGGATTCTCGACTGAATCGAGTATAAGAAAAAACTGGAATAAACTTTAAAATAAAACAAGGTAGCACGTTTGTTTGCAGCCGGCACTTTAGTGAATCAGACTAATTTACCAGGGATGCCATATAAATAAACTTAGTGACTGTAGTCCGTCATCAGTTCGCCAGCGAGATCGGTGATTCAACGGAAGTGGCAGTGCACAAAGATCACTGAATACGGAAGTCCTACGTATCAGCGTGATAATCCCCTATAATGGAACATACACAGATGTGATGCATGTGTTGAAATCTAGACCATTGTTGTTGATAATATACAAACAACACTGGTCTATATATATAATATAATAACATAATATAATATAAAAACTAATATAATATACTATATAATATAAAAACTAATATAATATGATATAATATAATAGTTTACTACATGTATATCTGATAATGTGTTATTATGACTCCACGTCATGTACTGCTGTTTGTTGGGCAGGTACATATGCCTCCTTAGGTTAATTTTACTCAACCAGGCTGGTTTTGTTCATCCGCTGAGGTTCTAGCAGAAGCATATTTTACACTGCTAGAAATTGAAACAAGGTAATTTAGTTGTGTTTAGTTTATCTTTAGTATAACGGATATCTTATAGTAAGTAGTTAAAGTATTTAGGTTTTTTTTATGCATTAATGTGTTAAATGGACCTACCAGTTTGTCCTGCAGATGGAGAATGCCAAAATGACAAAGCTTATGACAAATGCGGCAGCAACAGCAATGGCACAATCTATAGAGAAGAAAAAAAAAAAAAAAATCACCAAAATATCAAATGTATACAACACTGCACACACAGCTTTCATGACACTTGCTTTAAGAGAAACGCTTTATGAAACTGCTGTTTTCAGAACAAAATTGATATTAACTACAAGGTACAAAATGGTCACATGCCAAAATAATAATACAAATAATTATCTGATAATAATAATTATAATAATAATAATAGATATTAGATTATATTAAAGATAATGATGCAACAAATACTAATGATTTCTAATTTGCTACCTACCCATTTTACTTACAGCAAGTTCCCTGTTACGTCACCACTTGCAATACTATATTCCCTCCCATCTCCAGAACTCTTGTCTAGTTTCCACAACCTCTGTACCAACCTACTTTTGTTAAAACTTTGGAAAGGTTCCAAAGATAATTCATAGTTTAGTGAAGCTGTTTTTGGTTGTACGTGGTTGGATTTTGAGTTAGATATCTCTTAGATTGCTCTATTACTGATTTTTGACTAGGAACAGATTTTTGGGAGTGGCTTTTTGTAAACTTGCGAGAACTTTAGATTAATTTTGTATTCCGTGGTTTCACAACCTTTACCTACAATGAGATGAGGATAATTATTACTGCTGTTATTCTCCTTTTTTTGTGCGGAATTTACAAACCGAAGTCAAAAATAGTGAAAATATTGACTGTTCACTTTTTCCAAATGCTGGGTATATCATTTATTATAGATGTTTTATAGAATTTACTTACAATGTTGTCTCTTTGTTGAACCACTGGACAATGTATCTGTAAATATAATTATTACAAAAAAAATTGTTACATGGATTTACAAAAGCTCCCAGTAACATCAAGTTTAGCAGTACTGTATGTATCGATACCACCATTTCCCAAATTTTTCAAATTCTTTCTTAGCAAAAAGGTGCATTTGTTGTACAAAAAAAAAAAAAAAAAAAAAACCTCTAGCTGTTTACCTCTAGCTGTAGGTGGCAGAGATGTTTCAAAAACGGTCTTGTTGTCTGTAGAATTGGTACCTGTTAACACACAGAATTAAATACCATTGTAATCTTGTAATATTATTGTTGTATAGTTTCTGTTAGAGATATCAAAAAGAAGAACTAGCCTACTCACAATAACAGTTGATATTCTTGGTGTATTTCTATAAGATAATCAAAAAGCATCTGATTTGTAAATAAATATAATTCTCAATAAAGCAGTAAAACTATTCTGTAACACTTTACAATACAGGCGCACTAATACGCATTAATTCATGTTTAACTAATGTTACAGGACATATCGGCCTAAGTTACTCCTAGTAGGCTACAGATATTTTCAGTCAGAGAAAAAGAGGAAGCTCCCGAAAAGAAAGTTGCTTTATAAAGAGTATATAAGAGAGACGTGGGCCATCTGACAGATAAAATAAAAACATGATTGTGATTGCCTTTATCTTCAAACGTTCAACTTGTATTTTTTTTACTATGCACAAACAATGCAAGAACAATCATATGCTCTATTAAAATTTATAGCGTCTTTTCTACTTGTACTTTACTCAATAGCTGTTAACGTTATTCATCAAATAGTCTGTTTAGCCTTTCACTTTAAATGTTCATCTGTCTATATTATAAAATACACAAACAAGCAAAGAAAAAATGCTTGTAATTAAGACTGTAACATTGACTTGCCTGTCGAGGAGAAAGCAGGACTTCATTGTCTCTTTTGAAATCTGTCTCCTTTATTTGCTCCATCTACCTGGAAAAAGCTATCCCGACATTAACTCTGTTTTTTTGTACTCTGCAGTCACGTTTCCTTTTCGTTCAATTTGGGAATTTGGCGACGAAGATTTCTTCTTCGTATGTAGAGTATGATCCGCCATTGAAAATAAAATTGCAATTCAGCTTTTTAAAATTGTCGGTTTTAGACATAGACTGTAAAAGGGTTTTAGACCGCCTATGGTTTAGACAAGCGACTCTCACCGCTCTGCTCGTCCGATTCTGCTGCTTCAGTCACGTGATGCTGACTCTGAACGAAACGCACTGTGGAAACGTGTTTGCCTAATTATTGATCCTCTCTGCTATTATAGTTTTTCCAAGATGGCAGAATGACATGGAAGCCTCTGTGGACTTACCCGTCCCATGTATAAAAAGATAATAAATTCTTCGTATAAGTCAGATAATTGGTAGGATAAGAGGTATTTGTACACCACTGGGGACATATTTATTAATAAAAATATTGGGTAACACTTTAGAATACGGTTCCTTCATTAATGAATAACTACACTAGAACCAAAAAGTAAC